AGTTCAAAGTGTTGACAGCAAACTTCTCATGTTTTGTTTCCTGATTCTACTACACTACAAATCAGCAATTTTTCACGTAATGTCAATAATCACAATTTTTGTAGCTGAAGAATACAGTCTCACAGAAAACAGTTCAAGTGATACTGATCATAGGATTGAAATATATCTATCTATTCTCATGAATAGCTGAGTGCTGTTCACTTGTTCGTATCTCACTCACCCGTCGTGGACAAGCGCTGAAAATGAGACATGAATATAAAAGCAACTCAAGAAGATCAATCGAATCTGCTGTTGCGCAGTGTTAACTAACCTCAACGATAATATCATAATCAAGTTTTGGAATTCGTTGTCCAGTTAACCGTTTTGGCCGTGGTTTCTTGCGTAAGTCATCGAAAAATTCATGCGCTAAGATATCCTCACCAGAAATTCGCTTCATCGGTTCATATCGCAAAATCGACGTCAACAATTTCATCATATTCGTTGGAACGTTGTTCCCCTCAAGAACCTGAAAACATTTATTTTTATTGCATTTTCCGTCAAGGACGCAACACTCACTAATTGAACACAATGAAAATGTTATTAGATGGTGATCAATTGTTGTGATCGGATGAATTTTAGCTAAGAAATACTTTAGGCGACTAGAAAAGTTTTCTTCTAACAATCTGTTTAGCGCTGGCCATGTTTGAATGAAGGTGCTTTGCTTAGTCGTTTGCAATTATGGAATATGCTGATAAATTATCGAAACATTTGACAGTAATGACTGAATTACTGGCAGAATATAAATCACATGAATAGTGCTACTGACAACGTTAAGACCACGTGCACGTTTTCTTGCATATCGAGGTCGTCTGATATTCATGGCTGCACACTGCTCAGTTGTCGGATAGCCGAACACGTCGATTACAAGCCTGGCTTGATCCTCTCGGGTTCTTCCTTGAAGTAACACTTTACCAGTCACGAACTCACAAAGCACACATCCGCATGCCCAGACATCTGCAATAACTTATGATCAGGTTATGGCCTCCCATCCACAACCAGCACTAAATACTCATCTGAATAACACTTAAATATTCTAAAATGTAGCAGTGAATCAGAGTTATTCAACAACATTTATGGAATGGTAAGTATGAACCGATGGCGGTGGTGTAATGAATAGAGCCAAAGATGAGTTCCGGTGCTCGATAGTATCGAGTCACTTGATATGGTGTGTTCTCTTCGAAGGATCGTAACAATTTCGCATTTCCGAAATCAGCCAGTTTCAATATACCAGTGTATTCGTCAACAATTAAATTCGATGGCTTCACGTCACGATGAGCAATACCCAACGAATTCACATAGTCAATGGCAGAAAACATTTGAAATGCATACATCTAAAAATTGATAATCTTCTATTCGACTGTATTTGATCGCCAATAATTCGTAATCAAAACGGACAAATCACCAACATAGACAAATAAATTCGAAAATGGGTTTGTCGGTTGGTGCAAAATTCTTCACTTTTTTATTTTCAAGAGAAGCGCGCATTGCACATTTGGAACCGAGTGTTTTCAAGGAATTGCAGAACATTGCTGAAACGAATCAGAGAGCATCAGAGTGAAGGATATGGAATGAAATTACTTTGGCATCAAGTAAATTGAAACGACGACCGGGCTGATGCATCCTTAATTTTGTCATATCCGTAGGTAAATAATCGAATACCATACAATGGCATATCTGCAACAGATTGTCTCATTGTGATTTCATTGAGATATTTAGCTTAACTGTAATGTTATCATGTGGCATTTAACTGTCATATCGAAACGCCTACCTCGTCGTTGGCAGAAATCGTAAAGTGATACAGAAGACTAATCACTGATGGATGTTTCATCCTCGACAAATAATACATCTCTGGACTTATTACAGATGAGCCACGCACTGGCCTGAAATGATTCGCCCTTTTTTTCGGCTAAATTGTTCAATTGAAAGAAGGAGTCAAGCTTATGCTGAAATAATGTAGCTTTGAACAACTTCACTAAATGTTTTTTGTTATAATGACTGAATTTGGATGAGGACAGATAGAAAAAGGAGGCTGCTTATGCAAGTGAATTCACAGAAGTGACTGTTTGGTCTTACCAGGTTTTTTTAATAGCAATATTCATCCGCGTTGGTTTGTAGAGTATCGCCGAATAAACGTTCGCAAAAACACCACTCGCATGCAATCGTTCTTGACCAATAGTTATATTTAGTTGGCGTCCATTTCCGGGCCCATGAACACGTATCGCTTTTATCGTTCGATGGGTCATCTCTATGTTTATGTTAACCAATTATCATTAAATTCATTTCATCTAGTTTGCGTGCGTGCGATTCCTAAGGTGTTGGAGTGCTTCAGGAGAGTGTCAAGCACCCAAAAAGCATTGATGGAACATTAGATCTATTTCTCCACCGCAAAATCGGACTCTTGGTTACTTCCTTAAGATTGTTAACCTCAAAAAGATAGTAATATTGAAGATTGTATTTAATTATTAATTCCAATAGAATGCGCATTATTTTGTGCAAGCGCATTCAGCTGTTCTCAAATTTCTCGCAGGAAAGTAGCACAGGTCGAAGTTATGTGGAAACGGGAAGAATGTCTGAAGCAATTACCATAACGGCGAATGACAAGTAAGAAGCCACCCAAATGAAGTCCTTTCGCCTCTCGATACTCCCAGGTTACCGCGCCGACCGG